AAGATCAAATGTGAGTAGAATGTCTGGATTGTAACACTTTACCTATGGTTGCATCTTTTTTGGTCCATTTGCATGAAAGCTGATTGGTTTACACATTTTTGTTTTTCATGTAGCATTTCCTGAGTACAAATGAAAAATGCTGATAAGTGTAGTGATGGAAATTCTACATAAAGACAGATTTGAAAATGGACACCAAAAGTTGTTTGGTTTGCTTTTACAGCATTTTATTGTTAGTCCATTTAGTTTTCTTTTGTTTTTATATGTTTTGGGGGGTTTGGTACTCAGAACAACTCTGCAACAAAGTCATCTGCATCTGTTCAGCTTCTGTTACCAGAAGCAAGATGAACTTTGTTTTCTGCAAACTACAGTTGATATTCTCCGCTTGTGGCAACAAAAAAAGAAAAATCTTAACTACAGAAAATCAGAGTAAAAATTGTTTTGAAGCATCCCGATTTTTTGTTTGTTTGTTTGTTTACTTTTGGAAGATCTTCATAGAGACACAGGAGAAACTAAGCTTGTTGCACCTTTAATCTTTTAATCTTCTACAATTCTCTGGTTTGTATACCTTTGAGCTGATTGTTGTAAATCATTGAGTGTCTGTAACATCACACAGGACACTGTGACACAATGTTTGTATTTTTTCACCTCGTCACAGCTGCACAATGTTTTCTTTCTTGCTCCTTATTTGTGGTGATTAGTCTTACCAGCGAACGAGGGGCTACGTTTGCCACCACTGTAGTTTTGCGATACCTGGGTCATAATTTTCAGTTAGAAGAAATAGCTTCTCTCACTCTGCATCCCATTTATATGCCGTATCTTGTTTCTGTGTACAGAGTTCCATTACTCTGTAGCTCGGAGGCTGGTAGAGGGGAGGGAGGCGGGAGGTAAAGGAGATGAAAAGGAGTGATAGAAGGCTGCGGCTGTTCCTGTTGCTGGTGCCGCAGACGCTTTCCCCCTCAGCAGAGAAGCAAACAACATGTTGATGTGCAGCAAGCAGAGATTTAATCACCTTTGCTATGTTTCAACTCATCAAAATATGAAGTGCGGAGCAACTCAGACAGGGAGAATTAGACAAAGGCAGTGACATGTCAGAGGCATCATGTCATCGCTAACTTATTTAACCAAAAAGAGAGTCGATGCAAAGCTATCACAACAGCTACCACACGAGCTCCAGCTCCAGTCTTTACTCCAGATACTCTCCTGCTGAAGCTATTTACACAAAAGCCTGGTGATTATGATCTTTTTATTGTGGCCTTGAATATGGGTCAGTGAACATGAGTGGCATGTTTAGATGTTGGGCAGTTGCTACCCAGACAGTATTTACCTAACATTGTCTAGTGCCTTCTAAGCCTTGTGGTTTTTACTGGGCTCAGAGTATCCGATGTGAAAACCATTTGGTGAATGAATGATGGCTTTTTCTACTTTAGCAGTGAACAGAACTGCATCATGATGTAATTCAGTGCAATTAGCCATTAACATAACACAACATCTGTCATATGAAGAAATGGCATCTCTCTGGAAGCCCTCCAAAGAGTCAGGAGAAGGTCGGAGTTGACTTTGCAGGCTTAAAAGGCCTCTGCTTTTCGCTGCTCTGTAATCTGGCGTCCTCTCCTCCTCCTATTACCCTTGTCTTATTCAGAGCCTCTCCCTTGTGGCAGGGATCATCATGATATACATGCAAGGATTTTCCTCTGCTAACACTAAAGGAACAATGTATTTCCCTCTGTTGGTGTGAGAGAGAAAAGGAGGGGGTGTGTGTGTGTGTGTGTGTGTGTGTGTGTGTGTGTGTGTGTGTGTGTGTGTGTGTGTGTGTGTGTGTGTGTGTGTCTTCCCCCTCCATCTGCCATCCATGGTGCTTTTAGTAACATTTTGAGAAACAGTGCCAGCCAGCATTTAATTAAGTTCTGGTATGCCAACATCTCCCTGTTGTAACATGGAATATCTCTTCTTTTGTCAATTTCTGTCCTGTTTCTGTGCTGCTCTGTGTCGGTCTTACTGTAACAGGGAAAGATGTCGCCTCTGGGAGAAGCAGGTAAAGAAGCCATCAAAACCAATGCAAGTAGAAAGAGTTGCAATCAGCGCACCAAAAGGAAAAAAAACTAGTTGTAGAGCATCTTTTGTGTGGATCTCTTCTCCTTTTCCCCAGTTTCACTTTGTTTCCCTCTCTTCCTGTATATGTGTGTGTGTGAGTGTGCTTGGAGCTTTCAATTCAGTAGAGGCTACTAGTAATGTTTCTCTCCCAGTAGAAATGGCTGCTGTTTGTTCAATTGTTGTGATAGATTGATGTGGGGTGGGAAAAGATGGGCTTTTATGCACCTGAACATAGGAACAGAAAAGTCTTTATGAGAAGCCAGTAGCTCTCCATTCAAGAATCGTCTGATGGGAGATGCATTTTGCTGGAAGTTTTTCTCGTTTTTTGCAAAGTCTTTCACGAACGCTTTCCAATATATTCAGGCAGTCAGGCAAGACACAAATACCCTCAAAAGGGCACTTGTCATTTGTTATTCCACAAAAATGCTGCCTCCAGTTTAGGGCAGTTTTCCTGTAGGGTTTCAACAAGTGGCCACCTTAATGGTTTCCATTCTTTTCAGTTTGCACAGAATACAAAATGACTCTTCAAATGCCCACCAACGGTTTGCACTTGTGATGTAGACAGTTCTCATATAATTAGCTATGCATCTGTACTTTAAATAATATTGTGGTTATCTGTAAATAGTCCTATAAACAGAGAGGACGGCTGAAGATCCATATTTGCCTGCCTGATGTATACTGGCTGGAATCCTGTTTCGACCACTGTGGCTTACTTTAAACTAATAACGTTGACTGTCTAAACCAAGTTGGTTGATGGTAAGTATCCTGAATGCAATGTGTAGAATGGCATCGCTCAAAAATGGATATGATGATCTATTAAAAGGAAAATAATATTTGTACTGCGAATTCAATTTTAAAACGATTTTTTTAGCTTGTCTTTCGTCATTTTACTCATCTAATAATTCATAATGCCTTCTTTAGACAGCCGCCTTTGATCCCTTTCACTATTGTTTTTCCCATTCCTATTTTCTATCCCATTTCCTATTTACAGTAATAGATGTAACCCAAGCTGACCTCAGATCAGAGACAGTGGGTCTGTATTCTCCGAGCTCTGTTTTTCATGTTCTTCTGATAGAATGAGGGTTAAAGGGGACTGCTTGCGCAGAAATGAGGTTACAGCAATTGGGCTTGCAAATGATTGGCAGGGATAGATTGTGGATGATCTAGTTTTTTTTTTTTTTTCTTTTAAACTGTCCCCATTTTTGCTTTCCTTTTTGTGTAATGCTGCTTGTTATTTTGAAAAGAGGGAGGTTGTGTAAGTCATGCTTACAGAATAAAGCACAACTTGTGAACAGAAAAAACGAGTACATGAATAAGCAGTCGTGATGTGTTTGGATGCGCTGCCAGAACATGGTAGCTTTTGCAGTGGCCTATTGTATATGAATCTATGTTGTACTAAAATAATTTGAGAATGCAGGACCTTTATCTGTTTTCCTTAAACATCTTGAGCTGTCTTCCTTTCGGTCTCTTTCATCCCTCCCCCTTTCTCCCCCTCTCCTCCTGTGCACCATCTGCATGATGCTTTGTATCCAGTCTGAAGGAGTGCTTGCTGTTCTCCGCTGTGAATGTGGGAGTCGGTGTGGATCTTGCGTGTGAACGTGTTTGTGTATGTGTTCGTCGGCATCGCAGTCACTCTCAGCTCATTACCTGACATGATGGATGGTGCAAGTGCCATTAAACAACGCCCAGCCAGGGACGCCTGGCACCCTACAGCTGGCACTGAGTAATGGGCACATTGGCGACGGCACGCTTGGAAATACCAGGGAGTCCTGTGTGGGTGTGCCTGCAGTCAACTCCATGGCTATGCTTCCTGGTTCTGTTCAGCCCCACCTGCCACCTGGCTGCCCAGTAGATGCCATGGGCATTTCTGGGCAGCCATCGTTGGATAGCATAGGAGGCAGTGTTTGTATGACTCTGTCATAGAACTGGCAAGAGAAAAACCCAAAGTGTGACTGGCCTGCTTTCTGACCACAAGTGCTACAGTGGCATATTCTCTGTTACTAGCAGCGAATCATATCTGATTGAATTTTTTCTGCATATTTTGACTCATGTTAGTCTTTTTCTCATTGAAGTTTGGACTCTTAGGTTGATCCTTTTCATTTCTCAAAGGATCTTTCTAATGCTAAAGACCTACAACACAATGCTTCTGTCTGGGTGCTGTATTAGGGCCTTTGCTAGTTCACCAGACAAAAGCTTTTCTCGTGAAGCAGGAAGTGTTTAGTGCGCTCGATGCAGCTGAAAACATTCAGTTCACAGTAATACAAGGTTGACATGTGAATGAACCGCATAGCTTCAAATAAACTCTAGAGTTCAGGTGAAAGTTGCAAAAGTATTGACAGTTGAACACCAGAGGACGTCTCTCTAATCTCCAGCACATTTTAGCCACTAAAGACAGTGAGGACACCACGTAGTTTGGCCATGGGCGGCTCTGCTATCACCTCCGTAGCAGCTTGTTGCAGTGCAGCTGTCCCCTGCAGGGAGGCCACGGTGGAAACGTGTCACGATGGAGAGAGCACACAGGCTTGAATGGAAAAAGGCCATATGTATACTATTTTTGTAGTGGTATTAGTTTTTGTGCGTGGTGCATTTACTTTGTGTAGTGTGCATTTGCTGCATCTGATGAGAGAATAGTTGAGGGGCTCTTGAGTGGAAGTCTGGATCAGGAGCTGAATAGAGTTACTATGACACCAGAGACAAGCACCTCCACTCCAGCAGCTTCTTCTGTTCCTCCCTCCTTCCCTGCTGCTCTGCTCTCAATCAGCCTGGATTTTCTTCACGTCGTCTCTCCTCTGTCTTTGATTTGGTTGAGCTCCTGTGCTAGTATGAATCAATGTACCGGCGCTTTCATGTTCCTTCTGATTCTCACATTTTGTATTTTTATTCTTTGTCTTCCTGTTTTTTTTAACCAGACAACCGTCGTGCAGTCCTGGAAAGATCTCGCTCACGGCACAACGCAAATCACCAAGCTCGATGATCACCCGCGCCTACTATAAGACGCTAGATAAGTGCCAAAGAGGGCTGCGAGGAGGAGACCTAGAAGACATCTGAAGGAGGGACAGACCACCCCTTACTGTGGCACATACACAAACTCCAAGGAATCCCACATACACACAGCACCAAGTACAGAACAAACAAGCCTAAAGAAACTACACAGAACTGAAGAATCATTTTCATCCAGTTCATCAGACGTTTTACATATTTATTCAAGAATTGCTCATCACTTTAAATGTTTGTCCTCTCTAGCTGGTTTGATATTAAAAACAATACATTTTAAGGTTACTGCAGAGAAATGAAACGTTTTGATTGTTTGAAAATCCATTTTCATTCTTGCAAGTCTAAGCCTTCCACTTAAATCCTTCTGTAATCAAAATACTTCACACTCAGATTTGACGTGAAACATGTATTGAACATTGCAGCGTACTGAAGAAAGAACTAATGCCAAGAAGGACTGCAGAGTCGTTCATTCCCGTGAACATACCGCACACCCTTTATTTTGCAAACAAGCAGCGGGGCAGCTGTCCTCTAAATGGAAAACAGGGATTTAACACCCGTGTTGGCAAGCCTTCAACCTGCTGATGTTTTCTCGAGCAGCTCCCCGAGCTCTTATCAAAGAGCGAGTAGTTGTTTAAAATTTCTTACTGCCAGTACCTCCTTCAACCAACATCAAGACAGTTTTCACAACAGCCAGTTGTCTCCGTAAATCAGCTCATTGCATATACCACAAAGCCACAAGAGCTGGCCCCCGTCTGTACCGATATTTCAGAGCTTGTGACTCATGGATTTTGAAACTGTAATCTCCATTTTGACAAGATGCATTTTATTTTTAGTTGTGTAATATCTAACTTTGCCTTTGGGTGCTGATCTGTCCCAAGGTCGCTTTTGCTTCTAACATGAGAGACTGACACATTTTTAAATGCATCTAACTGCCTGGAGGAGCTAACATGAACTTTTTGACCTTTCCTGTGATCAGGTGTTCAGCAAGGAAAAAAAAACGACAACATTACCATCATTTTATTATTAATCTGTTTGAAATACAATAAAGGCACAGGCCGAAAATTAATCTATCTGTAAACTAGCAGTAAAAGGTTTGCACTTTGTCTTTCATTTGGTTTTTAAACACTGGAATCTCCAGAAAAAGAAAGAAAGAAATTATGAAAAATTTTGAACCAGGTTAAAATAACAAGTGTTTATGTAAGCAACCTGTTGCAGTAGTTACTGAAAGGCAGTGCTGTCACCAGTGCCTGACGTAGGACTCGTCTCTATGACTACAAAACAAAAACGAGGCTTGCAATCTAACATGTGGTTAACTTTGTGAAAGGGTCCGTTTTATCCCAAATGTTGACCTTTTCCCAAACCTAACTGAAAAACATAATATATATTTGGTAGAACATGAGACATGATTTTATATAAATATGTAAAAACCCTCGTAGGTTCCAAAACATTTAAATTCATCTGACTGAATGTATGAGGTCAAACAGGGTTTTAAGACCACCAAGAGGTGGGATTTGTGTAATTCTTCTACCTGGACAAACTCCTCCAAACAGCCACCTGGTGTGTGGCGTTTGTGTACGTGATAGTTGAAACTTTGCTGTAAGCTTGTTTCTCTGTATGGGCTCACTGTCACACAGTTTCACGTGAACTATTTATTCATGTATTCATGCCTAGGGTGGCCCTTGTTCCCTTACTTCCCTAAACTGTAAGCAGATGCTACTAAAAACAACCGCTGAATCCACATGGAGACCGGGCACGAGCAGAATTATCGACTGAGGGGCACAGTAGACAAGATGATCCTTGTCTTGGAAAGCGAGTCTCCGAACGCCCTCCGATTCCCCGGCACTAAGGGCACGAACAATCATTTTACCTTAAGACAGGTTACCATACTAATAACAGAACTCAGCTGTAGGCTTTGTGTGTCTGTGTGTTGCTGTTTGGGGCAATCGTCTGTGTGCACCATGCCAGCTCAGTAATCGGAACAGGAACTCGGGCAAAATAGGATTCCATGTGCTTGACTCCTGGGCTGAATAGATGGAGATTTTTTTCATTTAAACAATCTGCCAGTGCAGCTTATGATGTGTCTGTTTCATGATGCCTCCTCTCCCAGCCTGCGCACTTCTAAAAATGCAATTTTACACATCATCTCGGCTCAAGGTGCACCCACAATACTCTGAGACGTCTGCATATTTAATTCTCCTCTGAATATAAGGTTTGAGCAGTCATACAGAGAAAGCAGAGAGAATGAGGTTTCTGCATTGATGGCAGTTTTAAAGACGTGTTGCACACAGCGCAGAGATTGCAGTGATTTTTCTTCCCTTTCTAGTAGATACTTGCCCTTTGCCCTCAGCACAGTTTCAAGCAATTAATAACGGCTATTGTTTTATCAGTCGTCCAACTACAGTGATATTTAGTGCTTTATGATTGGATACTGTGTATGCTAAAACAACAAGTGGTTTGTGGTCAGCAGTAACAGTGTTTTTCTCACAAAATTTGACTGAATTATTCTTTTTTTGCTCATTTTAAACAACTTTCTTCCACATTTGCCAAGTGTTTGTTTAGCTTTTTTCTCTAAACTATGAAAAAGACTGTACAGACAAAAGCTTTTTTAAAACTGTAATTGTTATTTCAACTTTGATCCAATTAAGTCATTCAGAGTAGGAAATTTGATGTTATTATGATAGTCAAGTGTTATTTCTTATCGAAACACCCGTGCATCTTTTTAGAGATGTCATTTAAAAATCTGTTTTGTAATGATTCTGATGTGCACCGTGCTGAGCTAAGCGCTGCAATGTTTGCCATTATAGAAGTTCCAGATCATCAGTGTTCACCTTGAATACGTTTGGTGTTTTTGAATGATAACAATGAGTGAAAACAAGACGCTTCTACAACGACAACATTTCCATCGTCCCTGTGAGTGATTCATGTGTTTCTCCCCCACACCCTCTCGTAGAATATTCAGAATAATGTGTTTTTTCTAGAAGAATAGTAGAGAGTCCAATGACAATGAACCCGAATTGGTCTGCCGTGTTATTGTAGAAATCAGCATATCGGCCCATCCTCTTACTGGTTGTTACTAACAAACCTCAGCTGATGATGTTCTCATTGTAATGGTAAGAACGGCGAGGCAGGGGTATAAAGGTAAAGGTGCCATTTCTCTGCAGTGGCAAGTGATTAAATGAAAAGTTTGAAATGTTACTTACACTCACTGACTGCGCACTTTACCTCACAAGTTATTCTGCTCAGGCGGAGAAAGATTTGTTTAAGATTCGTAAATACAACATTGCCACTAACAGAGTGAACTATTTGCAAAGCATTTCTTTTGGTAAATAGTTCCCAGCTGCCACATATCCAGTTCTTTCCGACTTTGTTAGCGCTTACTATTGATTTGTGGAAGAACAATTGTGGCTGAATCAACAAACAATGTTCATAACTGTTGACAAACCCTGTCCAACCATGGTGTGTAAGCTGCCATATCCCTGCCTACCTTTCTTGTTGTCACCGAGTATGTTTTATTGTCATAAGAAACATTTATATTTGTAACATTTTAAGTTTATTTGTATCCTTAGAAACATGAAAAAGCAAAATGGTTATGCACACTGTCCTTCCATAAACTATGTAATGGAATATGATACTAAATAATAACCACTTTGTTATATAAACACATTTCTGTGCGCGTCTTTGTCTCTTCTTCTTTTGCCAGTAGTTTTTTTGTATTCACACGTCACAAGTATTTCTTGATCAAGTCTTCACCTTTTGTCTTGCTGTGGGTCTAAAATTACATCTTCGGTTCATTTTATAGCACGGCAGAAGATACCTGCTCCTCTGACTTATGGACAGAGCTTACAGAGAGCTCCAGGTTTTAGCACATGATAAATGAGACAGCTCCTACCTATAAAAGCAACATATTTGGACCTCGGTGTCCTCGCTGCTTTATCTTGCACAGTGTCAAAGGCAAAGTGATAATGCTGTCATGTCTAATGGCAGCTTAGGGAAATTACTAGCGTCTGAAAACACATTTCAAGGAATTCTTCTCATTTTAATCATTTTGCAGACGTTTCTCTCTACTGTGACTTCAGCTTATCTCCACCTATGTTAGACAACGGGGAAAATCAGGGTAGCAAACCAATCATTTGTTTATTATTTGATACTAAAGAATTTTAATTTGTAAGCCGGGGAAACATTTTCTCTGGAATTTCTCTTTTATAGGCAGTCAAAACAAAATTTGCAGTTTAAATCTGTGTTAGGCAGTTTGACTTTAAAGTTAATAAGTCTTTTTTTTTTTTAGAGCAGCAATTTATGGAAAAAATGAACTCTCCATGATGTGTTCCCATGCGATCAGTTTGTGTCAGTCTGTACGAGTCTCACTAGCGAGCGTCGAATTGCAGGGCAGGGCTGCTCCTGTCCTGACCGTTTGCTTTACAGCCCACCGACCACCACCACCAAGTCTGCTCACATGTAATGGCGTGTTCTCCCTGCATGTGCCATGTCCCACATCCCAGCTGCAGCACGACATCATAAAATAAGGGCTGACATCTGTGAGTATACCTCGGGTCACAAGGAGCTCTCTCCCGCTCCTCGTGTGCACTCGCACACAGAAATACGCGACGCTTCTCTCGACGTGTCTTGGGACTGATCTTCTCTGAGCCTCTTCTCCTCCCAGTGTGCAGCCAGACAGATGGAGATTCATCTCTCAACAAGCTGTGATCTGTGTTTAGAGATGTGTGCTGCAGAACACAACTCTAATTAGGTTTATTGTTGATCTAGGGAGGTTAATTTGTACTTGGCTGCAAGTGCTAAAGAAGGCCAACCTAGTTCCTTACGAGGCACCAGCACTGCAACCATAAGAAGGACAGCTTTTTTTATCTTCTTGGCTTTCGAGGTGATTCAGAATTATTATACCCTCTTGCTATATTTGTCTAGTTCGGTATAATTGCGCTTTGTACTGGGCTGAGAGATCTGTCATGGCCGGGGCGGTAGAACTGGAAATGAGATACTAGAAGTGTGTTTGTCTAATGAGCTTAGGGGTACAGTTGTGTGGATGTGGCAGGTATTACTTATTTTTTTATCCTGTTTTCTTTTTTCTTTTCTTTTTTACAACCTCCAGGTAAGTAGCCTTGTCAAACTCTGAGAGATGAGCCTGGCCCACACAAGTTTTTTCTCTCTCGCCACCTTCTTTCTTCACGCTATTCACAGTCGTGTTTCTAATGCACTCTGTGACAGATCAGTTGTCAGCGGGAATACAACATAATTATGTTTCATTTCGCATTTCCGCCTAATGGAATACGCAAACATTATGGAGATGAGACAAAGCAGGCAGTAACGATTCCCTCCTTACCTGAGCTAATTCTGTCTGAGGAGAAATCTTATTCAAGCAGCACTTTGCGCTTAACCATGGCACTTTGATAAAATGCATGCATGTCCAGGGTGCATGGGTGTCTAAATAAATTTGCCTGTAAAAGAATTTACTTGTCTAATGTTCTGCAGGTGTGTGCCATTTGTGAAAGGAACAACTCTACCTATAGGCCTGTTTGGTACTTTGCAGCTTGAGCAGCATTGCACATTTGTCTTGGTGTATTTGCCATTAACAGCTCATGAGCATGTAAGACTTACAGTTAATGTGACCATCACAGTAGTGCTGCACCGAAAAATGCATTTTAAGAAAACACAGCATATTCTTGTAACGACAGTTTATGTTATGGTGCCTATTTTCTTTTAACTCAACAGGATGGGAGTCATCAGCTTTGCACTGTTTAGAAGCTAAACTTAAATATGATGCCAATGGTACTTTGTCTTTACCCGCGGTTCTGCTACGTGAGCATAGACTGCACATTGATATGTAAACTACTTGAATGAAAGGGCAATAGCTAGCAGGAGCGCTACTGCAAACTAAAGTTTTGATTAACAAAGTGTAAACGTTTTTGACTGCGACAGTAACTGGGATGCTGGTGAACAACGGGATAAAAAGTCTTACTTATCGAGAGAACTGAACAGCTGTCTCCTCCCAGTGTCGTTGAATACAACCAAATACTAAACCAGCTGCAGTGGAGGTGGAGCTGACTAAGAAATGTGTGCACTGTATGCTCACAGTGCCCTGGATTTTTTTTAATTTTATTTCACTTTAAATGGGAACATAAGTTTTTCAAATTAAAATAATTTGATGCTGAATAAGAGTGAAAAGCAGAGACTGGGACCAAAAACCATTCAGAAGAATGTTTACAAAGTCAAAGAATCAAGTGAGATGGTTAATTTTCCCAAACATGATCTTGAGTGTCACCACCTGCTGGCTATGAGGACAAAGAGGCTGTTTTAAGGCACTCGTTCAAAGGCTTTCCTCCTCAGACCCAGATACTACGTTTATGATTAATACAAAGCATATATATCTATAGATATCTATCTATCTATATCTATCTATCGATATATATCTATATATATATATATATCTATATATATATATATAGCAGCTGGATAGCGTAGTGGTTAGACTACACGCCTTTGGAACAGAGGATCGCAAGTTCGATTCCTGCCTGGGGCGTCTGTATCCAGTAAGGGTCCTAAGGCTAGACCCCCTATGCTAAGC